ACATTTTTTAAAAATCCATTTATATTGCAAATTACATTGATTGCTTTTCAAGTGTTTAAATAGCCCTGCAGTTCTGAGGATAAACCCCATGCAGATTGATGTAGTATCTTTTTTGTATGTGATTAGATTTGATTAGAAAATATTTTGTTAAGAATTTTTATATCTGTTTGTGAGGACTATTGATCTCTTTTCTTGTAATGCTTTTTATCTGGTTTTGGTATCAGAGTAATGTTGATTTCTTGAAATGCATTGAGAAATATTCCATCTTCTTCAATTTTCTGGAAGAGATTGGATAGAATGGTATTTCTCTTAGAAGTGTTATTTTTCTTTTTCTTAAAGGTTTGATAGAATTTACCAGCAAAGATCTGAGAGTCTTGAATGCAAGGTTCAAGAGCTTGAGCTTTTGGGCCAGGCAGGTGGCATGGTGGTAAGGTGGCTGGCTCCCACATGGCCAACTATGTAGTTAAGTCTTGGATGTGGTAACTTGAGATAACATGCTGGGTATGTTCATGTGCATGCCCACAATCCCAAGAGGAAAATGGAGGAGAATGGACTGTGACATGGCCATCACCCCTGGGGGATGATTTCTCATTTTCTCTTTCTTTCCCTCTCTATTTTTCTTTTTCTTTATAAGCACATGCCCTATAGCAAGCAAACAAACAAACAAAAAGGGACTATGCTTTGCTCTGAAATTGCTAATGGCTTCCACAGTAAAAAGATGATGTCTGCAAAGTATGTTTTGGGAAGGTGAATCTGACACCTGTCGGCAGGAGCTGTGTTGGCAGTGAGGGCCTACATGTAAGCACTGAGGGAAACTTTGTATTCTAATTTCCAAATTTTCTGCTGATAAAGCTTATGATTACTCCTTTGTGAGCTTGAGGAAATTCTCCATTGGAAGGGAAAGTGACCCTATTTGATATAGCTTTTTCTTTATGAATAGGCTCTGAGGGGGCTGTAACTATTGTCACAGAACAGTTACTCTTGGTGCCTGGGGTTTCTAAGTCAGCTAAGTAAATCAAACCTGGCTTGACGCTTGCTTTATGAAGTGCCAGAACTGGTGTTAGGTTGCAGCATTTTTAAGTGACTGAATTTTTTTTTTAAGATTATTTTAGTTTTTCTTTTCTTTACAGGTTTAAAGAGTCATAAAAGAAACACAAATCTGAAGGACCTATTCATAACACAACTCTATAAAGTTGCTGCCTCCCCACAATGCTGGAAATCTGTCATTTTGAATAAGCATTTCTCCTTTGGGGCATGGTATACAATATATTTCCTCCTGCATTGTTTATTATTTCTAAGGAACAGTATTGCAATACGATCTATCTGCTTGCCATGGTCACTCTCAAGGAGTTTCACGTTATTGCATCAGCTCTCAGGAAGACAGCCCAGGGCCAACCACAAAGCTTAGTACCTCAAACTGTAAAAATAATCATATGATTTTGTTTTAAGATTGCAACTATCATGTTGTACATGCCCTTTTAAGTGCATGAAAATATTTTTCAACATGTAAGCTTTATGAGAGCATCTTTCAGTATTTTTCTCTACACTGCAACTCAAACAATGGCTATAGGGTAGTGAAGCATATACAGGTCTTGTCATATAAAGAAGTGTTGGGAGGGAGACACAGTCAACACGACTGGGAGAGTCAGTGGATTAGGGGATGGCTTTTACTTGGCACTAAGGTGAATGACTTGGCATTGGCAATACTGTGGCATTAATTTAAGCACAGAACAGCCTGAACAATGATTATCATTGTAAGCCCAAAGTCCATGATGTCAAACTTCAATTAAATTGCTTCTTGGGAAATGAACCTGCAAAACGTACACATGGCAAATGTCTTCTATTCAAACAATCCTGAAAAAAAGATGCTCACATTTGGATAGTACACATCTGTTATTCCATCTGGGCCTCATAAAAGCCTATGTGAAATGACTCAGTCAAATTGTATTGAAGGCTCATTGTACAGATAAAGAAATGGAGGCTTGGAGACAGAAGAGACTTTACTAGGATTGTAAGGCAAGTAAACAGCAAACTAAGATGGGGACTCAAATCTTTTAACTCAGGGTCTCAGACTTTTACTGCTGCGGGGCACTCCCTCTCCAGAGTGATAATATAGACGTGGTGATTAAGCAAGTCCTAATGTGCTGGATCCAAAGCACACACACCTGGTACATAACATCGAGCCAGCCAGTATTGAACTCCTGGAGTTGAATCTTTTGTCTGTGTAGTTCCACATGTGATAATTCTACAGAGAAATGTAATATTTTGCTTTTAAATCAGATTATTAATTCTACTCAGCAAAACACTATTTTGATGGTCTATTAGAGGACTTATATGTAAGCTTTTAGGGAAAAGGAGATAGTCATAGAAAATATACATTTATTAAGATACTTAAATCAGACATTCTAAACTGGGAGTTGGACCTTTTTAGACTCCATAAATAAACACCAGGAAATACAGGGATCCCTGGAACTAAATATTTTCTGAATCTGTATATATTTTTTGGAGGATCCTTTGGTTTCATCAAGTTTTTAAAGAAAGCTCTGTTACTTGAGGAATCATTATTTTGATAGACACAAAAACAACCCCTCTTCTGCCTACTAAGAAAGGCACAAGAATTTTCCACGACCTGGGCTCTCAGTTTATTGTCTGTCTGCGGTGTTCATTTGGTACCCATTGAACACAGCTTAGCTTTGTTACTTAGCTGTCACATGTAAGGGGGGGGGCTTCATCTCACCCATTTCTGTTTGTTCCAGAGTACCCAGAACCCTGCTGTGCATGTAGTAGATGGTTGATGATTAATGAATCATAGGTTCATGAATGCTGACTTTCAGCTCTCTGGCAACTAGAATGAGAATACACGGAGAGTTGTGGAATAAAGCTTGTTTCTAGCCATGCTTCACTAGAAAATTAATTCTAAACACAAAAATGAAGTATGGTCAGCAAGTTATAGGATGGCTTTTTAAGTCATATAGTAGTATATAGCATCTAGATGAGTATTATCCTAGTCAACATAAATCTCTTGTCTGGTTATATGTTTATTTCAAAAATAATATTGTTGCTTCTTATATATGTCCTTAAGACATTCCTTAATAGGACTGCTATGGAGAGCCTCAAAGAGCATCAGCCAGTGACAAATGACTATATTCCCTGACAGAAATCTTTGATTTTTGTCTTTTTCAAAATATGAAGCCTATTCTCAAAGATGTAAGATTTGCAGTAGTAGTATGCATGGGAAAGTCCGCTTTGCACTCCCTGTATATAAATCCACAAAAGGACCCTCCAGCGTGTATGGGGCAGAGAGCATCAGTGAGTTAGGCAAAACCTCTCATGGGAACTTCTTTCAAAACACTATGCTCAACTGGAGGCCAAAGCTCTGATATGCTTACTTACAAAATTATCTATGGCTCGCCTTGATGGGGTCAACCTAGTTTAATACTCAGCACATGAGCACTTAAGGGCTAATTTTGAGCTGTACCCTGGGGGTACAAAGATGACTAAGACACATTCTTGGATTAAATAAGTTTGTATTTAATTCAGGATGCTACGTACATAAATAGATAACCTCAGTATAATGATGTACATGTTTTAGGATTACATGCCAGGAAGACAAGAGGCACATGACACAAATTAGGGCAATAGAAAAGGCTTCCTGGAGCTGGCAGGCATTATCGTGGTTAAGGCACTGAATTCCCACATGGCCCACTGTGCTTTAAAGTCTGGACCTGGAAGCTTGCGTTCTCACTTTCCCTCTGTATCTCTGTCTCTCTCTGATCAAATTAAATATAATAATAATAGGGACTAGTAGATGGTGTAGCAGTTACGTCGCTAAACTCCTTTATGGCTAACCACGGTTTGAGTCCTGGACCCAGTGACTTGAAACTCACACTGGGCACATGTGTGTGCATGTTCAAAATCCCGAGAGGAGAATGGAAAAGGGGATTGTAGCATGGCCATGCCCCCGCAGGGTGATTTCTCACTTTCTGTGTCTTTGTCTCTTTCTGTCTCTTCAGTGAGTGCACACGCCTTAGAGCAAAAAAATCTCTCTGAGGCATCTTCCTTTTAGCCAGGTATCACCTGTACTCAGTGTCTTACAGGGTGGAAGCTCTGGATTAACTAACATTCCCTAGTGATGCTATTGGGTCATTGGAAAAGTCATGACATGTTTTCTCTATGCAAAAATGAGTCATGAGTTTTCTGACAACCCACTAGTTTTGATCTTTTTTTTTTTTTTTTTTTTTTAATGGGAGGGCCAGAAGGGCAGAGCATGCAACGTTGGCACTCTGCCTATGGCCAGGTGCTAACCGTGCCTCTAAGGATGGCAAGAAAAGGGACATCTCTCATTCTTTCAGCTTGAAGAGTCCTGATGGGGTGGCCCAAGTGGTTTTCCAAAAGGGGTGACCAAGTCATCTTTAATGATTCAGTTGAGAAAAGGACAAAGATTCGAGTAAAAAATCTTTGCCATGGGTAAAATTACTGTATGTTATTAAAAAACAGAAACTAGAGTGTAGAAAGAGGAAGGCTCACAACAATTATCTCAAAAATAAACTTTTATTTAAGTTAAATGTACACTTCATTAATAACAGAAAAGTGTTTATCTACAGGTTAGCGGAAATGGATGCATTCCAACATGTGCCTTAGAATTCTGAACATCCTGAGCATGATAATTTGGTTGTATGTGCCAGACACCTGAGGCGTAACATGCTCTTAAATCACATTTTCATATCAAGCGACATTTAAAAAGGGCAAGATAGCTTTGTCACAGCTAGGCATTAAACATGTTTTAAAAATTAAATTTCCCCTGTTAAAAAAAATTCTTTTCCCTTATGCATGTGTATAAATTGAGAAAAATCCAGATCTCAGGAATAAATTCCAGAATATCTAAGATCCAGTCCTAGAATCATAGTGGCATCATTCAATTGATGTAAGTCCCAGTTCTTCCTGTCATCTTGAGCTGACTTAAAAACTGAAGATTGATGGTGTCATAGCTTGTTTTCCTCAATGTTTTATACATAGGAATGATGTCACATGTCTATAAATTCCTTCAGGAAATCTTTATTTTCTGCTTTGCAATCTAATCTCCTACTTTACAGGCATGACCAAGAAACATAATTCTGGAACTTCAAGCATCTTGAAGGCAAGACACAGAACTGAGTTACTCTGCGCTGACCTGAAGGAATAGTGCCAGTGTTTTATTTCTGGTACACTGCCATGTTGGAAGGCAGCCAGAGTAGGCATCTCAGACACCTGAGATACTGAGACATCCTAACATCAGTAGTAGAGGGGACTCAGCATACAACAGCATGGTATCCGCCTTCACCCTTACATAGTATTTCATCCTCTTCTGAGAGGAGATGGCAGTGTGCACATAAAGGTTAGGAATCACACATGGTAGCCTCAATTTTCACATCTATAAAATAATAGATAATACTTACCTATTAGACTTGTGAAGATTAAAGAAAATACATGAGAGCATGCATTTAGTGTAATGTTAACATAAGGGAACTTTGGTGGTCATCCAAAGACTGTCAGGTTCCCGATGATTTGTTTCCATGTCCTAAGCAATAAAGTCAAAAGACTGGGGCAGATGCAAACCTACTATGTTTCTAGGTTTAAACCATGTAATCCTTTGAACCTTCTTAGCTATACCAGGTGATATTGCCAACTAAGTTTCAGACCCAGATCTCATTAGACAGGTACTGAGGAGAAGATGGAAGTCAGGGACTATGTGTGTTACATTCAATAATAAAGTTACCTGTAACTTTATTACAGGTACAAATGTAATAAAGTTCACCCAGAGGTGAAGCCACTCACTGGGTCCTAAGTTGTGTTACAATGGACCCAGAGCCCTGGCATTGACAGTGATATTCAGTAGTGACACTGGCCCTGTACATAACTAAATGCCAGAGCCTGTGCTGAGCTCTTTCTGCGCATCTCATTCTTACTTTACCATGTCTTGATGGGATAGTTCCTACCCTCTCCATTTTACACAGGGGGTTCGTAATTTGCCCAAGCTTCCCTTCACAAAACCAACGTAGGCTATGCATGGACTGCACTGCCTACTGCTTCTACTGAACCTGCCTTGCCACCCATCTGACTTTTCCTCTAAGCACAGTGAAGAAGACTGTTTTTCATATGCCGCAGGGTCCTCTGCAAGGACCACCCTCAGCCTGACTCCTACCTCAGTGGCTATGAATGGAAGGAAGGACATTTATAGGGAGGCTCTTGGTCAGGGGTGCCACTTTGTTCCTGTTTCAGCTGAGCCAGGCTTAAAAATGCTAATGAAATTCAAGAGACACCAAAGAGATGGGATACTGCTGTCATCAGTTTCTTAGGACCTACCTCTGGATCCCCAAATTTCACAGCTAGGACCTCACTGCCAACTTGGGTTTAGCTTTTTGTGTGTGAAGGTAGATGTGAATGCGCAGTAGATTATCCTTCACTTGACATTATTTTGAGCTGGAAACCTCCATACTGGATTTGAAAGAAATAAGTCCAAAAAATGCCATTGTTTCTTCAGCTTCATTCCCTCTATCCTTGGCAATGAAATACCTTTTGAAGACTTTTTCTATTTTATTGCATTCCTGAGCTTCTACAGTTTAGGTTCATGACAGATCTAAAGCCAGGATATACAATTGTCATTTTCCCCAAAGCACTGGGCTTAAACACTTGATTATGAAATGGAAGGGCTCACATTTGGGGATTGACAGTAGCAGATTGTATTCTTTGTTCTTGGACCTACATTAACAAAGCATATGTGTTTTTTGCAAGTTTGCCACTAATGAAAATTAGGAATGTAACTATTGTTTGGGTTCAAAATATCAAGTGTTTTTACTAAGGTAAGATATGACTACGTGGGAATTCTAGGAAGTTGTTCCATTTAGACATGACGTAAGAGTTACACCTCAGCAGAATCTTTGGTTTGGGGTAAAGATAGTGAAAAAGTAGACTTCAGGTAGAGCTCTCATTTCTACAGCATTCTTAAATGAGGAATTCATTCTTTAAATGAGTTAGTTTTTTGGTAGGTTTGCTATTTAAAGCCTACCTTCTCATAATTTTGACTTCCAAAGACATAAGGAAAAGAAAAGCAAGGGCCAAAGTTGGAATCCTTTTTTTCCCCTAGGCTAAAGCCAAAGGTTTAGAAATGACACCAAGGCTTTGAAATAGCCTTAAGAGTGTTATAAGGAAGCTAGTCAAACAACTGGGACTGTTTCTTGTCAAATAGATAAGCTTTCAAAGGCCACTTAAAAATTTGGATCCAGGGACTTGGCTGGATTCCTTTACCCAAGGTCATAAAAATGTTTATTTGTCTATCATCAATCTTTTGTAGTAATTCCTAAAGTCTATGGAGTGCTGACTTTGGGAATTGTTGAGTATTTTCAGTCACTTCATGTGATGGGCTCATTTAACACTAAATATCCTCCTTTAGTGTTTGATAAGCTTCTTATTTTTCCTAATTAATTCTCTTCTCCTGCATTAAACTCTTGAGACACAGCAAATTTATGTTAACTTGTTTCACATAGAATCTTTAAGTTCTTGTTTGGGAGATAAAGCCTAGGGTTCTAATCCCTCACTAACAATTATTACATGATGAATTGAGCAGCCTCCTGTATAACTGATCTCAAAAGAAATATCTAGTTACTTTGTTTCTTTAAATGTGTTTTTACTTCTTAAATTAGATGCAATGAATTGTACCTTGGTTTCCTCACTGGGGAGGGGGGATACCTGAGACTCTTTCAGGGTGAAAGTTGGTACCCAGAACCTGAAAAAATACACTAGGGACTGGAATCCAAATTTATTTTATTTGTAAAAACTGTGGCTTTGGGCCTTATTGTTAATTAATGCTGTATAATCCTTACAATAAGGAAAAGCACTATTATTTTCAAGTTCGCAAAAAGTAATTTGTTATTACTCCGATTAAAATAAGCCAGTGGTTTTGTGCCAGAGCAAGGGCAAAACACCAAACAAATGGTCTCAGAGTTTTGACATAACGAATTCCAACCTGCTTCCTAAACAGGCACCTAAGCCATTCCCTGTCACAGGCCATATCCTGTTTAATGTGATGTGGAGTAAGAAACAGCTGGACAGAAGACAGGCCTACCTTAATGACCAAAGCCTTTTCCTTTTACATGCCTGATCTTCACACCTCCCAGTAAGAGTCAGTTCCAAGTCTATTCTTTTTCTTTTAGCCATTTGACCAAAATCACAAGGGAGCATCCATTAAACAAGATGGCAGAATCAATCTCCTTCTTCTAGAACTATTGACCACCATCCCTAAGCCACAAGCAAGATATTATCAGCCTTGTATTTTACAAGTGAAATGTGAGTCATCCTCTGATCCATTTAGCTGCTAAAAACAATTCTTCATTTTCTTGCTACCGTGTTGGTTGTTTAATCCCAGAAGAATCGCTGCACCTTCCACAGTAGACTCGCCATCTCACTTTGGATATAGAGGAGCCTCCAGTGCTTCAAGTCTTATATCTGCCCTTGCTTCCATGCATCTGGAGACTTTAGGGAAAGGATGCAATGGTCTATGTGATGGGAAGCTCACTGAAATACCCTTTGCTGGTACTTCCTCTACTCCAACTCTTCATCTGCTCTTCAGACTAAAAGTTCCAAACATTTTCCTCAGTAGGAATCTGTTCTACCCCAGGCTAAACATTTATAAAGGAGATATTACAGACATGTTGTCTATGAAGTCACATTAGAACAGTGACTTTCAAATCTTAGCATACATCCTCACCTGGAAGGCTTGTGAAAACACCGATTCCTGGGCTCTGCCTGAGAATCAGCATTTCTAACCAGTGCCCAGGTGCTCCTGGGACCACACTGAGAACCACTGCCTTAGATTGTTTAAAAATGGCACTGTTTGCTAACTTCCCTATGTTTGTGGCAAGACCATCTAAACTTTTATAAGAAAGCCCTTTCCCATGCCTCAGAAGGCACTAGTCCTTGACCTTTATATAATGACAGAACATGAAAGAGACTTAAGTGTGAAGAAGCAGAATTCATCGAAATCTCAGCACATGTTTCTAGACCAGGAAATAAGTTAATGAGAAAAGGAACTCTTCTCAAAGCAAGAGAAAGTCTAGGTATAGACTAAGCTAGTTTCTTTTACAAAATAAGAAATAATTTGGGAGCAAATGTTAAATAGTACCTCGTTTTTTCATTAGTAGTTGTTTATAAGAGAGACTAGCCCAATTACAGGCTTAGTTATACAACATTAAGAGCGACAGCTCATACATTTAGTTAGAACACTTGATACTATTCAGACTGTTTATGAGAGTTCATCCTAGAGGAATAGGCACAAACCATGGTTAAGCTGCTTGGTTTAATTTTTTAGCACTTGAAAAAAATGTACAGTAGTTTGAACACACAGTCTTTGCAAACCTCCATTGAGGTCAAAGATTTCATTCACACGTACAAAATTAGTTTACAAATTTTTTTGGCAATTTCATCTTAGTAACCCGTTTTATCCTATTGCCATTGTCCCAACCATTGAAAAAGTTTACAATAATTTACATAGAAATATTTTCAAAGTGCTTAAGAATAGTGATTGTTCTCTGGGATATTTACAGATGGCCTATACAATGTATGTACAGGTGGTATACACTATAGCACAAGTTTCATTGCTGGAATATGGCTTTCTAGGGAAAGTGCATATTTGGCCAGAGGTGGCAATACTGTCTAGAAATTCAAGGGTTACAGATACTCGGTAACCACATCCAAAGCTGAAGTAGAATGTGGATAAGAATATTTACAAAAGTAATATAAAAAGGGTCAAGTACACAAGCTTGATCCACGCAAAGATATCTTGATGTTCTTCCTGCTGGGAGGAAGAAAGAGACTTCAGCTGCTGGCTAGGTTACCATTCCAGAGTAGGGTATTATTGGTTTAGACCTCAAAGGCCGAGACTTGTTTGAGAAGTCAAGCTAGATCATCGTCTGTGCTTACAACTGATATCTGTAGAAAAGAAAAAGTATTGAATGAGGATGAGTCTTGTAATCAGTTACTGATAGCAAATCTAGTCCCTAAAATGGACTTTGCTGGGCCAGCTGCGGCAGGGTGGTTAAGCAGACAGATCCCACATGGACGACTGTGTGGTTTGCGTTCCAGACCTAGTGGCTTGAGAAACACATTGGATGCTTTTATATGCATGCATGTGTGTGTATGCCCAAGATCCTAAAAGGGGAGAGAGATGGAGAAGAAGGGATTGTGGCATGACTATTCCCCATAGGGGGTACTTTCCTGCTTTTCTTCTTTCTCTTCCTCCCTCTTTCTATCTCATTGTCTCTCTCTCTGGTGAATACATGTGCCCTCTGGCAAATTACTTTTTTAAAATGGACTTTGATTTTGGGTTGATTATTCAGAGGCCCAAAGAACTTAGAATGAAAGTCAGATATAAATTAGTATTGAGTTGTATGAGGGGACTTTGAAGTGTTTGTGAAAAAACTGAAAAGGATGAGTTTCTTTTGGTGCGAAGAAATTTTCACATCCATGCATAATTTTTTTTGAAAGATTTTTTGCTATAGGGCAGGTGCATTCCCCAGAGAAACGGAGAGACAGAAAGTGAGAAATCACCACCCCCACCCCCAGGGTTGGGGGGACAGCTATGCTACAATCCCTTTTCCTCTTGGGGTTTTGGGAATGCACGCATATGTGCCCAGTGTGTTTCAAGCCACAAGGTCCAGGACTCAAATTGTGGTTGCCCATGTGGGAGTCTAGTGCTTCAACCACCAAGCCACCTGCTGGCCCTCCCCCACCCCCTTTTTATATAATATGCATTTTCAAGGAACTTTTGGAAGATCCCTCATGTTGTTCACATGCATTTAACTTGAATTCAACTACTCAGTATAGACAGAAAATAGTGTAATTAATTCTGCCTACTCTACTTAATGATACTAAGTCTTGGAGAAACAGGAGAAAAGACACAGATGTGCTATGAATTGACCACAATTTTGTGTCTCACCAGAGAGTCTGAGAGGGGAGTGCTTAGCACTTGCTGTGGTTAGCCCGTTCTCTAAACGATGGCCAAATGTTCCATCTGGGTTTTTTCTGAAGAACAAGTGAATGACTGTACTGCTGAAAAGCAAAGCTCTTGGTTGTCAGGAAAGGCATGACAGCATTTTTGCATAGAAAAATATGTCATGACTTTCCCAACAACCCAATATTTCTACTAGATAGGATGGTGGCACTTTTCTAAGTAAAGCATTTAGTCATTTTTGCTTATTAAATCTTACCTAGTATACTGACTCTAAGCCAAGTCCCCTGTATATGACCCCTACAGGTGATAAACTAATTTACTCTTAAGTATCCAACAGGCAACAAATTTAACAGTTCAAAAAGTGCTATTTGGTTCATGCTAATATTTACATGTCATTTTAGAACCCAAAGTAAATAGCATAGTGATGACCTTAAATTGACCTATTTGCCATTTTGTGTGGGTCAGATGCTTATCAACTGACTGACCTATGTTCTAACAGGCTAGACTGTCTAATGTCCAGGTGATAGATGAAATGTTTGGTGATTTCATAATTTTAATGGCTCTTCCTAGCACAGATAACCATAATTCAAGCTAGTGCTCTTCTTTCCAAAAAGTCTTACTTGAAGTCATGGTATTATGATGACAAGGTTGCAAAGTGGTTAGCTGTTTAGTCAAGACAAACCATGTGAAACAAACATGGGTAAACTAAGTTAGATACTTTGTATGTCAAAATTATGAGGAACTGGGAACCAGCAGTTAGCGTAATGACTATGTCGCTGGACTCCCACGTAGTCGACCGTGGTTCGTGTCCCAGACCCGGTGGCTTAAAACTCACGCCGGGCACGTGTGCATGCGTGCCCAAGATCCCGAGAGGAGAATGGAGGAGAAGGGATTGTGGCGTGACCATCCCCCCGGGGGGTGATTTCTCTCTTTCTGTCTCCATGTCTCTCTCTGTCTGTCTGGCGAGCGCACGTGCCCTATAACGAAAAGAAACCTCTCAAAAAAAAATTATGAGGGACTAAGTTAACTTACTGCTGGGTATGTGTGTCCAACAGAAGCACTGTGTCTACCAATGTCTATTGAGAGGTCCTCTTCAGTGGTCTTCAAGTACACAGGATTGTCAAAGTTCATGCTTTTCATGTTACTTGAAGTCATGGTATTATGATGACAAGGTTGCAAAGTGGTTAGCTGTTTAGTCAAGACAAACCATGTGAAACAAACATGGGTAAACTAAGTTAGATACTTTGTATGTCAAAATTATGAGGAACTGGGAACCAGCAGTTAGCGTAATGACTATGTCGCTGGACTCCCACGTAGTCGACCGTGGTTCGTGTCCCAGACCCGGTGGCTTAAAACTCACGCCGGGCACGTGTGCATGCGTGCCCAAGATCCCGAGAGGAGAATGGAGGAGAAGGGATTGTGGCGTGACCATCCCCCCGGGGGGTGATTTCTCTCTTTCTGTCTCCATGTCTCTCTCTGTCTGTCTGGCGAGCGCACGTGCCCTATAACGAAAAGAAACCTCTCAAAAAAAAATTATGAGGGACTAAGTTAACTTACTGCTGGGTATGTGTGTCCAACAGAAGCACTGTGTCTACCAATGTCTATTGAGAGGTCCTCTTCAGTGGTCTTCAAGTACACAGGATTGTCAAAGTTCATGCTTTTCATGTTCTTGTGTTGCCAATTTCGCCACATCAAGTAGCCCCCTACTGCTGCCATCACTAAGAGCACTGAAAAAAAGAGGGTGATTAAGCAACACATACAACATATACATCTAGTTCACAACATAAAAAAACAGGTTTCAGGAATCCATGATAATTAACATTATTAACAGGCTCATGTTTTATTCAACCAGGTTAGAAGTTGTGAAATACATGGCCTAGGGGCTTGAAACACGTTCAGTTCAATGACTGTGACTCTACGCATTAGAGCTGAACTAGCCATACCCATGTGACCAGGTACAGAGTCTTGGGCTCCACCCCAGGCCAACTGAATTAAAACTGCAAAAACTTCTAAAGAGCTGGGACCAGCAGTTAGCGTAATGGCTATGTTGCTGGACTCCCATGAAGTCGACTGTGGTTCGTGTCCCAGACCCGGTGGCTTAAAACTCACGCCGGGCGCGTGTGCATGCGCGCCCAAGATCCCAAGAGGAGAACAGAGGAGAAAGGATTGCAGTGTGGCCATCCCCCCTGGGGGGTGATTTCTCACTTTCTATCTCTCTGTCTCTGTCTGTCTGGTGAGTGCATGTGCCCTATAGCAAAACAAACAAAAAAACCCCAAAAAACAGAAACTTCTAAAGAGCTATTCAGATGGTCCGGGTGTGTTAGCGAAGCTTAGAATTCAGGACAAAGAGGCTATTATAACAAAATGCCTCAGGATTCACACGTCTGATAAGAGTGTTGGATTAAAGAATTCTTAATTCTTTCCCTCTACAAGTCCTACAATTCTTTTTTTTGGGGGGGGGAGAGGTTCTTGCTATAGGGCACGTGCGCTCGCCAGACAGACAGAGAAAGACATAGAGACAGAAAGCGAGAAATCACCCCCCAGGGGGGATGGTCACGCCGCAATCCCTTCTCCTCCATTCTCAGGATCTTGGGCACACACGCACACGCGCCCTGTGTGAGTTTTCAGCCACCGGGTCCGGGACGCGAACCGCGGTCGACCACATGGGAGTCCAGTGACATAGCCATTACGCTAACTGCTGGTTCCCCAAGTCCTATAATTCTTAAGAAAGGATTTCAGCATTTGTGCATCCCATCCATATGAGCACCACACATATTTCAAAGGAGAATATTGGGTTGTTGGAAAAGTCATGACGTGTTTTTCTATGCAAACATGCATCATGACTTTTCCAATGACCCAATAGAATAGTATTCTAGCTAAAGGGACTTATTACAAAGGGAAATAAGCCGGGCTTACAACTTAGAAGTAGAAAGCACTAAGCACCTTGTATATAATTGTCAAACCTTTATCACTGTCAGTTACTTTTTTTTTTTTTTTTTTTTTGCTATAGATGCGCTCGCCAGAAAGACAGAGAGAGACAGAGAGATAGAAAACGAGAAATCACCCCCCAGGGAGGATGGCCACACCGCAATCCGCTCTCCTCCAATCTCCTCTTGGGATCTTGGGCACACATGCACACGTGCCTGGTGTGAGTTTAAGCCACCGGGTCCTGGACTCGAACTGCACTGCCAGTTACTTTTTAAGGATACCACTGAAGAGAGAGGTATGGACTCTCAGGGTGCCATGTGGATTCAGAGTGAGTCTATTTCAGCCTCCCAAGTGCTTTGACAGTATAAGAGATTGTGAGAGGGGCAGCTCTAGTTGAACTACAAATGTTCATCTGGTATCTAAGAAGGTTGTCAGGGAACCAGCAGTTGGTGTAATGGCTATGTAGCTGGACTCCCACGTAGTCGACTGCGGTTTGCCTCCCCGACCCAGTGGCTTAAAACTCACGCTGGGCACGTGTGCGTGCGTGCCCAAGATCCTGAGAGGAGAATGGATTGCGGCGTGACCGTCCCCCCAGGGGGGTGATTTCTTGCTTTCTGTCTCTATGTCTCTCTCTGTCTGTCTGGCAAGCACACGTGCCCTATAGTGAAAACCTCTCCGAAAAAAAAAAAAAAAAAAGAAGGTTGTCAGACCCAGAGGTATAGGGAATCTACTTACAGAGAGGAAGAATGGCCCAAGCAGCAGAAGTCCCTTTTGGGGGAACGCTGACCTCCGATACTGCTGTGGTCACATTGATCCCTGCATGGGAATAAAAAGAACCAGTTTAGATGGATCTGAATTCAAATAGAAATTTACCCACCTGGTAGCAGGCCTCCTACCTTTGCACCCAATATAGATAGTAGTGTTGACTACAGCTGTATACCAGAAACAACTCTGGCCTAGAAGCATTTGAGTCATCTGTTCTAATAGCCATCTCACTAATAGTTCTCCAACAGAAACTTAACAAGTCAGGTCAAGCTAAGATTTGTAGACTCTAAGTCTCTGGAGTTTAAGTATAAGTTACCAATCAGGGCAGAACTAGTAGTTAAGGCTGCATTAATTATTTAATCTATAGATACGAAGAGTGTGGCTGTTAGTTGAGATTAACGGTTTGCAATGCTGAACCCAATACCTCCAGGAACTAGTCCACTAGTTGGTGAAATTTCTGTTGTGTTGGTATCTTTTGTCTCACTGTAAGTCACAGTAGTTGTAGTACCTGAATTATGAAAACCAAGAACCTGGTTAATGCCAAGGTTCCAGAGAAGCTAGCTGTTGAGTCCAGATAATCCACATAAAAGGTTATTTTAAGGTCAAGTGTAATGGGCACACCGCTGCTGAACTAAGGAGCATGCTTCATAGGTCAAAACTGAGAGGAGCAGCAGTTTTCATGCAAAAGCAGAGGTACATGATCCTTGGGCCAAACAGTCAGCATTTGGAATCTGAGGATCTAAAATGATGCACAGCCTCACTTAATGACCCCCTCTCAGTATCTCAGGCTTCTGGAAGTTACAAGAAATGTTTTCCAGATGTTCTGGTATACCAAACATATCGGGTTTTCTCACAGTAACTTTCTCAGAAAACTGAGCTAGATCTTGCCATGACCCCGAATCAAGCTAAAGGAACCCTCATCATATGAGTTCCTTCATCACAACAGCTTGCTACTTAATCAAAAGCTAGAAATAGAAGAGTAAAATGCACATTTGGTTTAAGTGTGAGTTTAAGTTAGTGTCACCCACTGAGGCAATGAGGTTTCCTGTAACCATGACCTTCCTTAAGCATAATTATAATCTTCCTTCTTTGGAAGAAAATGGCAAGACTTTGTTTAATTACCCACAGGAGGCTGGCTCAGTGCTGTTATGGAACTAACTGGTACAAATTAGTAACGGTTGCATCCATACTTCAGTCACTTGAAAACTCATCTATTGCTGAAATGGGTTAAAAATCAATTCCATAGTAATGGCATGAACACCTGGCATGCAACAACAGTAGACATTATCAGATCTATTCCAAGAATTAGTTAAAACAGAATTCTTAAAAACCAGGCCAGTTTATTTTTATAGCTAGTGCCTGATCATGTTGTCTGTTGTATATCCAGCTCATGGTTGAAAGAATGAAAAGCCTTACTGTGGCACGTTCGGCCATTTTCTTCTAAATTGTACCCATTGGGACAGGCACAGGTGTATTTTGGAGAGTGATCATTAATCTGTGGTGCTGGCAGGCATAGGTATTCACATCCTCCATTCTCCAGGTCTTCTTCACACCAATTTTTACCTAGCCAGAAAAAAAGTCCTTTAAAATAGGTATTCTACTATGTACTATATAAAAAGATTTATTCTATATATAAAGTATATATATAAAGTCTTTTTTTTCTCCAAGGAGCATAAAATTGTAAACTTCAAGTGAGACCAGTACCAATGAAGAATAAATATAAGGGTACTAGCAACACGCTTGAATGACACCACGTTCAAGGAGAACCCTCAAAGGTAAACTATAAGAGATAGGTCTTTAATGAATGGTTGGCATGGGAGGAATGGGGAAGGAAGATGAGAAACTAGGACTGGCATTCACTGTTGGCCCCAGGCTTAGAGTGAAGGCTCAGAAAAAGAAGACAACAAAGCATGCTTCACTGGCTTTGCCTTGTCTTGTTCCCAAATGTGAAAAAAACCCAAAAACTCAGCTATAGATAGGTTTAAGGATTTCACTTAGAAAGAGCTAAATGTTGTTTTGTTTCTGTTTTTGTTTGTTTGTTTGTCTTTGTTTTAAGCAGGAGACAATATGACCACATGTGTTCAGATCTACACAATCCTATGTAAGATGTGTCATAGGGTTGGGGGGTGCAGTAGGTGTTCTGGGTTGAATTGTGTCCCTCCCTAAGATTCATATGTTGAAATCCTAAATCCAGGACCAAAGAATGTGAGATTTTTTTAGAGATAGGGTCTTTAGAAAAGTAAGTCAAAATGAGGCCATGAGAGTGGGCTCTAATTCAATCTCAATAGTGTCCTTAGAAGAAGAGGAAATTTGTGGCCTGCAGGTAGCATGGTGGTTAAGGTGTTGGATCCCCACATGGCCAACTGTAGTTCGAGGCTTGGATTTAGCAGCTTGAGACACACCAGGCACAAATGCGTGTGTACCCCAAATCCCAAGATAGGAATGGAGGAGAAGGTATTGCATCATGGCCATAACCCCCGGGCATGATTTCTCACTTTCCCTCCCTCTGTCCCTCACCAGCAAACAGAGGCACCCTATGGCAAAAGTCTAAAGAAAAAAAAATAAGGAAGAGAAAAATTGGGGTACAAGCATGTAGGGAGTGAATAGACACAAGAAGAAGATGGCCATCTGTAAGCCAAGAGAGGAGCCTGAAATAGCCTTCCCTCACAATTCTCAGAACGAACCAACCTTGTCAATATCATGATTTTGGACTTTGAGACTGCAGAACTGAGAGGCAATAGATTTCTGTTGTTCAAAGCACACCCGTTGTGCTTTGTTATGGCAGCCCTAGAAACTAACAATAAGAAAAGACTGCATCACTAAAGTTACTATAGAGGCTAGTGCAATAGTCCTAGCAAGTTGGTCTAAAGGCCAAGTGGATGTGCAAGAAACAGAAATAAAAGCTCTAACTGTCAGGGTTAAGAGAAAAGACAGGAGCTGACATTCTAAAGCCATTTCACTAAGATGCCAGTAATAGAGACTGATAGTACTCCAGAGACTTTAGTACTCTCCTACGATCTTGGTCATTGTGTGAAATATTTAAGGTAGGTGACAAGAGAACACATTTTTTTCTTTTAGGGATGACCCATAGGGTAGCAGGTAAAGGGAGCTGAATTTCAGATGGCCAATAGCAGCTCAAATCCCAGTCCATTAGTCCATTAAGCTTAAAAATCACACCGGGGGGACCAGCAGTTAGCGTAATGGCTATGTCGCTGGACTCCCACGTAGTCGGCCGTGGTTCGAGTCCTGGACCCGGTGGCTTAAACTCACGCTGGGCACGTGCGCGTGCGTGCCCAAGATCCCGAGAGAAGAATGGAGAAGGGATTGCGGCATGGCCATCCTCCCCGGGGGGTGATTTCTCGCTTTCTGTCTCTGTCTCTGTCTGTGTGGTGAGCGCACACACCCTATAGCAAAAACCTCTACAAAAAAAAAAAAAAAATTACACTGGGTTCGTGTGTGCACATGCGCACCCCAAATCCTGACAGGATGGAGAAGAAGGGACTGCAGCACGACCATGCCCAGAGTGGGATGTTTTTTCCCCCACCCCAAAATTGGTCTCTTTGTCTCTCTGTCCCTCTGGCAAGAGCATGTGCCTGCTGGTAAATAAAAAAAAAAGAAAAAAAGAAAAAAGTTCCCTTTTAAAAGAAAGTCGAGTTGCTAAAGAGCTCCTCATAAACCAGTAAATTCTGTGGGATGCTGCTGTCCTTAAAGTAGTCAGTAAGGACTGTGCTTCTCCATGTTACCTGATGGCTGTACAAGTTCATGATAGACAATGATGTCTTGGGCATCGTTAAGGTTGTTGACTAGAGTGGCCAGCTCCGACCCAGTGAATTTATTGGCACCATAAACTGCTTCGTTTTCTCCATCTATCCAGTAGACGCGATCCTAAAACAGAACCTCCCAATTAGCATGTATACCCAGGATGAGCGAAAGTCAATATCTAAGGCCATTGTTATTTACTAGCCATTTAATGGACCACGTTTTTTGAATGTTGATCTAAGAAATTAGATGTACATCTGTAAGAGAAACAAGTTCAGGTTTCTCAAAATGCTTTAAGGCATTAGTGTCTAATTTGTGCCAGATTTTAAGCGAAAGCAGTCCCTCAAGTCATGCTCCTCCCTCTAAACCACTTCTCCTCCCTCTGGACGAATTTTTCTCCTTTTTTCTGTGCTAAGATGTGAGTCACATGTCTTACCTCAAATATTGTCAGTGCGAGGGGATGAGCTAGGAACTCCAGAGACTTAAGTACTATCCTACGATCTTGGCCATTCAAGTCCACACTGGACAACATGTGCAACTTAGAATCGAGCCAATAGAGGCGGCTTTTTATGAGGTCTAGGTAGAAAAAGAATTGATACTGCACAATAAGTTATTACCACTCCAGCTTCTATTTAAAATATCTAAGGAATTCTGTATTATACTCTCTTGATTTCCTCTCCATCATGAGTACTAAATGGGGGGGGTTCCACAAATCTTTGGAGCAGCATACAGAATTTGTACCCACATTTATTTGGGGGAACTAAGATTCCCAAGTAACTGATTTAAGTAATGTTACTCTCATTACAGAAAATATTAAGGAAGCTTAGCATTTTGTTGGTCCTCCCTGATAATCCAGAAGAAAACTATTACGAGTCTACAACTCAGGAAAGGCAAAGGCTCAGAAGTATTCTTTTATTTTTAAGAGATTTTTGCTATAGGGTGCGTGCACTTGCCAGAAAAACAGACAGAGATAGAGACAGAGAGATGGAAAGCGAGAAATCACCCCCCATGGGGGATGACCACACCGCACTCCTTTCTCCTCCGTTCTCCTCTCGGGATCTTGGGCACATACGCGCACGTGCCTGGCATGAGTTTAAGCCACTGGGTCTGGGCCTTG